CCATATTTTCAAATGTATAAATAACTTTAATCCTTTTTGTGCTTGCTTTTTTCCTTTTCAGAATGTACTTCTAAGGCTAAAATGCCCAGCAGCATGTTAAAGAATCACAGCATGTAGATATTTTTTGATAGGAATCTCCAAATTGCCTTCCAAAAACAATGTACCTTTTTTTCTTTTTTCCGCTTTGGATGTGCTCAGCATTTCCATTTGATTTTTTTTTTAATTGTGGTAAAAGAGACCTAACAAAAAGTGAAGCGCCTTAAACGTTTGTAAGTGTACAGTTCAGTGGTGTTAGTTAAGTTCATTCACATTATCGTGCAGTGAATCCTCAGAATTCTTTTCATCTTGCAGATCAAAACTCTATACTTATTAAACAACTACTCCTTTTTCCCCTTCCCCTGGAAACTCCCATTCTCCTCTCTGTTCCTATGAATCTGACTACTCCAGGTACCTCGTGTGAGTGAAATTGGACAGTGCTTGTCTTTCTGTGACTGGCTAAACTCAGCATAATGTCTTCAAGGTTCATTCCTGTGGTAGCATATGTCAGAACTCCCTTCCTTTTTAAAGCTGAATAATATTTCATTGTATGTATATATAATGCCTCTTTTAATCCATTCTTCTACTGATGAACATTTGTTTCCACCTTTTGATGACAATGAATAATGCTCCTATGAACTCTGGGTATGCAAATGTCTGTCTGGAGTCCCTGCTCTCAGTTATGTGGGGTATAAACCCAGATGTGGAATTGCTGGGTCACGTGGTAATTCCGTATCGAATTTTTTGAGGAACTTCCACACTGTTTTCCTCAGCAGGTGTGCCAGTTCGGATTCCATCAACGACACACAAGACTCCCATTTTTCCACACCTTCCAACACTTTCCACAGTAGCCAATATAACTGGTGTGAAGTGGTATCCCCATGTCCATTTGACTTTTTAAATTATGAATGTTTGACAAATTTTTATAGATTAGTGAAAGATATGTTTAAATCCAGTTCTTCTGCAAATTTTACTAATTCTGCATTAGAGGAAGTAAATTAAGTTTCCATAAGCCAGTTTTCTTCTTCAGTTAGTCTCTGCCTAAATGTTTATCGGTCTAAAGCAGGGACAAAACTTGTTCAATGGCCCCAAATATATGTACAAACTCACCGTATGTGATCGATAATTGGGAAAACTCGAATTTAAGTTCTTCTTACCCCTGAGACTGCAGGTCACACATTGACTAGTACCTACTCCCCAAGCGTAGCACGCACTTGCCTTCCTACGTACTCGGCACTTCCGTTTGCGTCAAACACTCTGGTAGGCACTGGGGGAGTAAAGAAGAATGAGAAGACACCGTCCCCATCACAACAACGTTATGAAGTGCATATAATTATTCCCACGTTACATTTGAGGGACATGAGGCTCCTCAGGTCTGACATCTTGGCTAAGATCCGACCGAGGCTGGGGAAGCTGAAATTCCAGTTCCAGTCTGACCCCAAAGCTCGCCTCTTCTGCTGTTCTGTACTATATGCTGCATCATCAGTAGTTCCCTTTTTCAAAAAGTAATATTCACCTGTAACTTCTGTTTTTTCACTTTAGATTCCCATACGTTAGCTTTCAAGAAGAATGGCACAATTACAGAGAAATAACAGTAACAATAATAAACTTGTAGAACCTTCTTGATTTGGAATTAACTGTATAGAACGCACTTACCAAGCAATGCTATCAAAGCATGCAAAGTAACAAAGAACGTTTCCATACAATCACAAATAGCTCATCCCAGAGAGAGCTTTCAGTATTTGAGGCTTACTAAAAAAAAACTGGCATGTCTTCCAAAGCTCACTGGACTGCTGAAACTTAAAATTTTATTTCTAAGCAGTTTGTTTCCGAGGCACGATTCTAATTACAAACAGAAGACCCTTCCAGTCCTATGTAAAACTCTCTAGGAGACAGACACAACTAAATAAGATTCAAAGATCCAAAGAATCAACAACTGCATTGATTCTCCATTTAAACAGACACTTTTTAATCTAAGAAAAATTAAATCATACTATGTTAAAGCACAAAAATGCTACAAATAAGCATAACAACTTCAATGTATATAATCCTACAGAAGAATTTCATAAATAAAACATACTAGCCCCTGACCAATATAGGAATGGGCACAAGTTGGTTACAGTTATTGATATGGAAAAAGATATGCAGGTCGATTATTACAATAGCTTTATTAACTCAAAGAAAGTCACAACTGCAATCCTACTTTTGCCCACCCCTGTAGTCTCAATACTTGTATCAAGATTAATCCCTAAATGCTGAAAAGAGCTGCATATGATGGCTACTCACAGATTAACCCTTCTTTATAACTTAATAAAACCCTCAAGATTAAAGATGAACTATTCAAAATATGGTTCTACAAAGAGGACTTCTGTACAATAGTTGATTTGAAAGACAGGCCAATGAATTCTTTGGCTCTCAAAAAAATGTTTGTTGAGTGAGATGAAACAGAAGCATATAGCTTACCTGTAAGAAAGAAGGGAGAAACCCCTTAAAAGAGTTTTATATACTTTAGGTAACTGAGTAGACTTTTGAGAAACAGCAAGCAATGCTTTGGTTAAAACGTTAACATCTTTAACTCAAATGCTCTAAACTCAACAACTATTGAGTTCCTACCATGTGTGGGGCACTCTGAAAAACACTCAGAATAACAGATCAGAAAGCAGCCTCCACCCTCCAGAGCTTTCAGAGTAATGTATTCATTCTCCAAAATCATTCTTTCTTTTGTGTGAGTCCATGCTCATCAAGCAACTTTTGAAATATAAACTCACCCTCCCCCAAACCTGTAAAACTTTGTATTACATTGCAGAGAGCAGCTTTCTGGTCAATGTATGAACATACCCTATTTATGTTAATAAATCATTATTCGGGTTTGCACATCCCTGTTCGTGGGCTTAGTTAGCCTGCGTAAATCCCCAATAGCTAAGTAATTGTGATTAATTGCTTAAATGTAATTTCTAACCCTTCAAAGCTGAGGATCAAATAATAGAAGTAGAATACCCATACAAAGACATATCACCAAATGAGTCCCCAGTTTAATCCTCAGACAACATACCTTTATTTAGATCCTGCGCTTCAGACTGCATGATAGTTAACTCATAAAATTGTTAAGAATAAATGAGATATACCACGTAACAGCATCTCTCAAATTTTAGAATGCATATGAAGCCACCTGCAGATCTGTCAAAATGCAGACTCTGATTCAGCAGACGAGGGGAAATGACTGGGATTCTTTTTCTCTGATGAACTCCCAGTGATACTTGGGCTGCTAGTCACAGGCCAGGAGGGGACGTAACACACCTGGCACAGCATCTGACACACAGGCTGCTCAGCCCAGTTAACTGTTCCCTCCCATTTGTGATGTCTTATTTCCCTTAGTGACCTCACCATTCTTGGGAGAGAACATGATGGTTTTCTCCATCTCTATATTCTCCAAAGTTCCGTATGATAGGCATTATATCTGTACTAACTGAATGAATGACGTCCAGCTTTATTAAAATCATATTTTAGCCCTGGCTGGTATAGCTCAGTGGACTGAGCATGGGATGCAAACCAAAGAGTTGCTGATTTGATTCCCAGTCAGGTCACATGCCTGGGTTGCAGGCCAGCTCCTCACTGTGGGGCATGTGAGAGGCAACCACACACTGATGTTTCTCTCCCTCCCTTCCCCTCTCTCTAAAAATAAGTAAGTAAAACCTTAAAAAAAACTTTTTAAAAATCATATTTTATTTGTCAATTACAGTTGACATACATTATAATACTTGTTTCAGGTATACACCCAGGGATTAGACATTACCTAACTTACTAAGTGATCATCCTGATATATCTTACACCCACCTGTCCAGCTTTTTAAGTCATTACTTCCCATATAGACAGAATTATTCTCTCCTATTTGTTAATATGGTAAGCAGTCAAGAAAGAAAACAAATGTGGATTATTTTCCTTTCTAAACTGTTTACTGTTTGCGGCTCTTTTGATATGATTTTTGTGATGACTGCCAATTACCAAACATAAAGTCTATTATGAGTAACTGACGGTATGGTACTGACGGTATGGTAACCTAGGATCGGATCTTGCAAATAAACATGTATCATCGCTTCGCCCTCCACACACGAAACACGCCAAACCTTCTAGTGACGACAAGCTGGACAGCCCCTTCCCTCCACCGCCCGCCGCAGCGCTGACCCTGACCGTGACCGTGACCGCGACCCCCCCCCCCCGCCCAGGCCTAATCCGCCGCAGAGGCTCGGCCAGCACACTGGGGTCATGCGCATCCCCGCCCTGGTTTCCTTTCGTCTTTATTAAGATTGTGATTTTTTTATGTTATAAGATAGAAACCAGCTGGGTGGCGCAGCCAGAGGGTGGAGGCATGACTGGGATGACCGTGACCTCGGGGTCGTCCTCCTACGTCCCCATCCAGGAGGCAAAATGGAGGCCGCGAAATCCACCGCCTGGGCCGGGCGGGGTTGCGGCGCGGCCGGAGAGCACTAGCCAGTTACAGGCGGCAGACCTGTCCTCACCCAGGCCGGCCAAGGGCCCACGGCACGGGCCGCGGCCTGCACCGGGTCTGCGGCCCCGAGCAATCTGGAGGCAGGGTCCCCGCGACTACGAAGAACTACGCCATCACGGCCCTCTAAGGCTGGCGCCGGGGCCGCAGGCGGCGCTGCAACGGGGGCTCGGCCTCCGGAGAGGCCTGGAAAAAGGGCGGGAGGGAGGAGAACCGCACAGGCCCGGCGGGGCGGGGTGGGGCGGGGCCGGGGGGCATGGGGGAGGGGGAGGGGGCGGAGCCCAAGCGGCAGCCTTGACAGCTGCAGGAGACCGGGAGGGCGGCGTCCCCTGCAGGGCCGCCCGTTCCGCACTCACCCCACTCCCAGCAGTGGGAGCTCTAGGTCTGGGGGTGACCCAGCTCCACCTGGCGCCTCTCCTCGCGGCCGGGGTCGCGGCGGGTGGCGAAAGCAGCCTCTTACCTTTGCCTTCCTTTTCTTTGTCGTCCGCCATCTTGTGCGGAGCCCGTCGCCCGGGAGACGTCCGTCCCAAACCCAGGTCGCGGCGTCCTCGCCCCCTTCACCCCCAGCGGCGAGAGTTGGGCCAAGCAGGACCCAGGACTCCGAATCCGGAGGGGAGAAGACCCTAGGGCAGAGGGAGAACGGGGTTGCTGGGAGCCCGCGAGCGTGCGTCTTTCCCCCATCCCCGCCCGCGACCCTCTGGCTCCCGCGTGATCAGAAGCCCCGTCCCGCAGCCTGAGACCCCGCGTGGCGCCCTGGGCTGCAGTCCTTTTCATCCAGATCCAGGCGTGAGCCGTGGTTTACTTATTAAAGTTCGGCGCGCCTCCTTTCCCTGATGATCTATTTGGGGACATCAGACACACTGCTCTCCCCCTCCCCTTCTATTTAGACAACGATTTTTTTTTTTTAAATTGCCTGATTTTAAAAGGCAGCTGGAAAGCTGGGTGCAGTACTCAGCTTCCGAGGGGGTGACCGAATTCGCCCGCCACCCCGCCTAGGCGTCTGCGGCCGGCTGGGCAGAGAGGCCGACCTGCCCCAACTCCCGCCCTCCGCCTTTGCTCTGATCCCCGGCTCGCTGTCGACCCCCTGGGAGGGCGACAGTGCAGCCCAGAAGAACTGGAGCTAAACGGAAACGGGCGGGTGCGAGAGGAAACGGGAGCCATTAGACTGTTATTACTAGGGGAGCGAAATAGCTGGAGAAAAACGTGTAAAAAAAAAAAAAAGGCACAAATTGCGTCGTCAGGGCTGCCTGCAATTTCTGATACAAAATAGAAGGGTCTCATAGCAACAAGAACATGCCCACGTTGTGATTATTGTTGCACTATGGAAAAGTTTTAAATCACGCTTTTCTGAAGCTTTGTGGCTAGAACATGATGTTAAATTTTGGTCTCAACAGACAAGTTCCCTAAACTTATTTTCAAAAGTGATTTTTGCATAATATGCCTAATGATGAGGGTCAAATGAATATATATATTTAGAATGAGTCTTAGATGATCTTAAGTACATATGTTCATTAATTTAAATGACTGGGTGTTGTGTAAAGACAGTTTATAAACAAGTAAATTTTAAAAGGCCTTCTAAATGCAAAGCATTAGTATTCAATGATTTTAAGTTTTTATGCTCTTTTTACTAATTCTGATTCTATAATCTCAGTAAACCTAAAACAAACTTACTATTTATTACAAATAAGTATTTTTACATAAAAGACATTCTTGTGCCGTGATCAGCTTTCTCTTTGAAACTGAATATAAATGATGGGACATCACAAAATGGCTCATATTGGAAAATAGGTACTTACATAAAGTGAATACAGTTTTTCACAGTAAATTCATAACACCCCAAAATATGATAAAGTAATCATTAGCATTAACTTATATTTAAATTTCATAGTCATTCTGGTCTAGTTATTTTTTAAAGAGTCCCTTTTGCCATACAGAGATCATGAAGGGTTTGAAATTATTAATAGAGCAAACCTCAGCTTTGCTCTCAGGTTAACTACCTACTCTCCCTGCGTTTTCATGAGCTGTTGGCAGTTTGCTTTTGCTGGAATGCCTTTCCCTTCTCTCTCCCCACCCCAGCATTCACCAGCAGACCCATGAACACATTTTGTCCCCTCCTGGTTGTCCTTGACCTCCTTGAAGGTCACGTACTATTTGAAGCTTTTCCTGTCAACCTCTTCCTCTGTGATCTTGCACGCATATCATAGAACCTCTCACTTAGGTATGCAATGACTTTGGTTTGTTAAAAAACAGAATCCAACTGAGTAAATTTGAAGATCTCATTGGCTTTGTTAAGCGATTCACGCATAGAGCAACATCCCATCTAGCAACGAGACAGAAACTCTGATGAGTTTAACAAAATGGAAGATTTTATAGACTGAAAGGAGCTGGGAATAACACATTAAAACAGTGGGTTATTTCGCTATCCCTTAGCGGAAGGCAGGGGGTCTTGCGCATATTAATTAGTGTCGGTCAGGAAATTCCAGAACGATTGGCTTAAAACGTCACTCCTACAAAGGGCTGAAACCGCAACTAGGTGAGTTTGTTACGTTTTGGTTCGGTGACATGGCTTTGCAAAAGGGACTCCATTTGGGCCTGTTGTTTCTTTTTTCAGTAGTTTATTTACTTGTTTCTTCCGCCAAACTCTAAGCTTTAGAAGACAGAAAGTGCTTTATTGGTCCATATAGCCCCAGTGCCTAGAATACGTTTTCAATCGCTGTGTCTGAAATAATATATATTTAAAAAGCTAAGATAGGAGTTAGTCTTCTCAATGGCTTCCTGAGAAGCAAAGCTTTTTATTATGTAGAGTATTCCAAACCACGTTAGTCTTTACTTGTCTGAACTCCTACAGCATATTTAAGACAATACTGTTCCTTTTAAGTTTGAATGACTAAAAAAAAGTTAATATATGTTCATTAACACCTCCCCCCAATTAGGTATGAGGATAAAAGCCTTTTATATACCCACAGTACCTCACCTAATTTGGGGACATAAGAGGAGCTTAATACATAGTTTTCAGGTGGTTAATTAGCTAATTAGACATAAAAGTATAGCCCTGACTAGTGTGGCCCAAGTGGTTGGGCATCATCCTGCAAAGCGCAGTGTCACCAGTTCGATTCCCAGTCAGGGCACATGCCTGGGTTGCTGGTTTGGTCTCCGATCAGGGGCATGCAGGAGACAACAGTGATGTTTCTCTCTCACACTGGTGTTTCTCTTCCTCCCTTCCTGCCTCTCTAAAAATAAATAAAATCGCTTTTAAAGTACACAGATGATGTATTAAAGAAGTATATGCCTGAAACATTTATAACTTATTAACTACTGCCACCCCCAAAAATGCAATTTAAAAAGTTTTTTTAAGATATGGGTGACGTGGAAAGGGTAAGTGGTGTGAATAACACAAAATGGTAGTCAGAAAAACCTTCACAACATGTTTATTCTCCTCGCGTAGAAATCACTGAAATCTCCTTGCACTAGGAGTCGGTGAAAAAACAAAAACTGGATTTTCCTCAGTCATTGATGGGTATTGACCTCAGGATCATAGGCAAGTCATGTAATCTTTTTGAAGCTTAACTCAGAAAAATAGATATAATGATGTCCAAACTATCTTAGAGTTTTCCTGAGACTCCACAGATGTAACTGAAAGTTTTGGAAAGTTTGAAGGACCTGCGAGGAAATCTACCCTCTTTAAGTGGAATCAATCCCCACCCTCCTTCCCAACATTCAGCTTCCACTTGGAGAGTTTGCTGTTCCGGTGGTTCAGCTGCTCAGCCAGAGGCGGTCTGACCAGTCCTCACGCTGTCTACCCTCAGCACCTGCTGCTTGTGTGACGATGGTCTAGTTCACACAGCAGAGCTCATGGTCTTCAGTGTCTGGCCCCTTCCTGGTTTCCACCTTGGCATTTTCAAACCATACCAAGCAGGAGTGACCTTGAGCGTATCTAGACTTCTTGAGTTCTAGACCCGGTAAAATGAGAAGGAAAGAATTGCTTTTCTGGTCTAATTCCAGTTTCCTGAGGATATATCCCTTTCCTGGGTAATTAGCCTCAAGTGTCTTTCCTTCAAGGAAAATACTACCTCTCCCCATAATGCTAGTAGCCTTACACTGTGATCTCAAAAGGGAAACCTTATCAGAATACAACAGAATAACGGTACGGCTTCGTTACAGTTAGAGTGATTAAAATAACACTTCTAAGTACGTTGCATACATTATCTCCCATTCTTTAGGAGGCTGATACTGGTATCCTGGTTTCAGTGCTTGTTTATAAAGGTAAGGTAGCATTGTCCTGTTCTCTTTAGTAACCTGAATATTTCGAGAAGAATGCTAAGGACAAAAATGCTGGGGAAACTACTCATCTTCATCTCTACCTTTTTTATCTAATACATCTTCAAAACATCCGAACAACGGGCAGGGACTCTTAGAGACTTTAAGGGGACCAGATAATGCCATGCACATTGTCCTTGACTGGCCAGACAAATAGTTCAACCGACGGGCCTGGCTTGTGCACTGCAGGAGAGCAGGCGCAAGGCACTCAGCCCCTCACCTGCTTCTCTTGCCCGCCTACCTTCCTGCACACTGAGGTCTCCGTCCTCCCGTAAAGACGGAAGATTGTGTTACATTCTTGGCCAAGAACATTTTCAGGGCCAGAGTTCCTTGGGGCTTTACAGGGAGACCCAGAGCAGGAAGCTGAGGCTGCTACTCCGTGGGAAGCTTACGTGAAACCTCAGTCCTTTAAAAAACATTTGGAAAAAGACCACACACCTGGCCCCCTTTCTCTCCAAAGCTCATTTCTTTCTGTTTCCCTTAAAAACACATCGCCACAGCAACTTACCGTTTAAATAATCCATTACGTAAACATTTCCTGTCCTAAAGAGCACTTTTCAAGGACACTCATTGCTAAGCAAATTTGGCGAGTCTCTGTTCCTTAGTCATGGAAAGTAAGACCTGGAAGGCGAAGGGCAGGAGCTGACCCAGCGCTTGAATAAATATTTACAAATGCTCACACAACCTCTTCCTCCTTAAGTGGGAAAGTAGAGGAAGGGTATAGAACGAGGCTGATAATTGGCCTTGGAATGGTTTTTAAATTCCGGCTCAAAAAAGAAATCTTTGACATGAGCTTTCATTTATGGTAACGTTTACATTTGGAGATAATGCTCTACAGAAGAATCAAGCAAATAGTCTTAGGAGGTAAAAAGACCCAGGATCGAACCTTAGTCCGATGCTCACCACCCAGATGGCTTTGGAAGTGTTATTTCTTCTCTGTAACCTCAGTTTCCTCATCTGAGGTTACAGAGAGGTTACATGGAGATAAGGAGGAGAGTGACGATTGGGACATCAAGGCAACCTAGACTCCTGCCTTGACTTCTGGCCTGACTTTTCTTTGGATGGGGCTGTGTGACTCTCTAACAGCTCTAAGACCGACAGTGACACTTTGGAGCATTTACTATGTTCTAGAAAGTATGCCGAGCATTTTACATGGACTCGCACTTAATCATCACAATACCCCTAGAGGAAGTATGCTAATACGATCCCCATATTAAAAGATGAAGAAGCGGTATCCCCAAATTGCTTCTATCACAGGAGAAGTGGCTTTTCTCCTCCTGAACCCCAAAGCTGCTCCTGAGGTTCTGCCTCTGGATCTTACTCTGGATTTTTCATTCCTTCCCTATATCAAGCTCCAAGGGCCCAATCTACTCCGGAAGAGGCATTGCCCACCCAGTGGGGTGAGGAGGGAGACTGTGAAGGGACTGGGGCATTCCGATCTGTGTAGCTCCACTTTCCCTGCTACCCTTGAAGACAGCCACGTGAGCATGTTTCACTGAATGTATTGGGGTGACACTGGTTAATAAAATTATAGAGCATCGCACTGCTGACCTAAAGAGGTAGGATAATAAAATTAACGAACAGGGATGTTATAAACATCCTGTAATCTTAGAAAAGGTTTACAGATGCGGGTCCTGATTCCTGACTATCTGAGACGGTAAGAGGGTGTGCCGGCTACGTTCGGCACTTCCCCCACACGGCCAGTTCTGCTCCTGCATCAGTAATTTTCCTTCCCTCCTGGAGTTTGCACTGATCAATGATCGTCCACGCGGCTCTTCCAAGACAAAAAAAAAAAAAAAAAAAAAAAACACCAGCCTAGGGGACAAATAGATCATTATAGATATACTATATATGGTTTTTCCACTGCAATCTATAATCAGCAAACGGACCCTAAAAAATGAACGTGTGCTCTTATTTTGGCATTAGAGATGACTCCAATACCACCATTTGCAGCTTTAGAATCGAGCAGAAAGTGACTCAGTGCTGTGTCCCACCTTGATGCTGCGGGCCTGGCCTATGAGCATGGCCACTTCCACTCAATAAAACGCTAGTGAAAAACAACCAGTTGACCCTAAACATTCCTGTGAACTGGAAGCTATCTCCTTGATAAAGTTTCACATCACCCAGGAACTTTCCTAGAACATGGATCTGTAACGCCTTCCCCAGCAGAGAACGTCACTAAATAAAGCAATGCAAACATACAAAGATAAAAAATGTTCACAGGTTTTGCTGGGGTTTTTTGTTATAACTTTTTTCTCGGGCCAGCCATGTCTTCAAGAACGGAAGGTGTGAGATTAGGGGTGAATCCTGGTGACGGGAGAGAGAGGTGAGAAAGGAAGCTATTTTTAGGAAGGCTTGCAGGGAAGGGGAAAGCCAATTATGCATAGCGAGTGGGGGGTGGGGAGCGGGGAGGGGTGTCGGCAAATGAAGGGAAAGCTTGCTAATTGGTGAGGCTGTAACCGGTTCTCTAGTCCCTCTCGTTTCCTACATATTCACAATCCTTCCTCACCGAGTAACAAAAGGACGAGCCTTGGCCGCTTAGCACAGTTGGTTAGAGCATCGTCCCAAAAGGCCAAGGTTGAGGCTTTTAATTCCTGGTCAGGTCACATACAAGAATCAACCAATGAATGCAAAAAATAAGTGGAGCAAAAAGACGTTTCTCTCTAAAATCAATAAATTATAAAAATAAAAGGAAGGCAGCTGCAGACTCCTGGGGGGTGGGCGTCTTGTTCATTTTATCCTCCTCCTGCCTTCTTGGAGAAGAAATATTCACTCAGTATTCAGCACGTACTTATGAAATACGTATAAAGAGTGTATGAGGGACAGCCTTTTGGGCACAGTGGGGAGTCCACAAACCTAATACCTGCCCTGCTTTGCTGAGATGCTTTTTGAGCTGGTAGTTTTAAGCTACAGTTTTGGTTTTGGGGTTGTTTTGTCTAAAGTTTGCTAAGTTGTTGACCCACAAAATTGAAAAAAAACACCACCAAAGCTACTTTCTCCTTCAAAGGATGGTGTGCACTATACCCTTACCATAGCCACCGTGCACCCAACAATGGTGTCTATCTGCAATAGGTGAGCGATGATCAGTCATCCAGAACACCAAAGGAGGGTGTCATTGGATCAGACTCACGGTGTCTTCCTGCAGGAGGCAAGTGGTGGGTTTTGCCTATTGGTAAGGAAGCAAGGGACCGCAGATTTAAGTATTTTGACTAAATCTATTCACTAGGTTGTTTTATTCCGGTGCCCCAAAATTCATTCCTTGGATGTGTCTGTTTTTACACATGTATTTTTACAGAAAGGTTTGCTTAATGCAATGAGCCATTAGTTCACATTATCATACACACTTGTCATGATCTTCTCCCTGCTTGTGGAATAAGGACATTATGTGATTTAAGGACACAGATTTCATGGCTTCCCTCCTGAGTCATCACACCCACGGTGGGAGCCCCCTAGCAAATGAGAGAAAACTAACTGTGTGCTCCAGACAACATTTGTGAAGCAGAGGACCAAAGGAGAAGCTAAGCTCCATCCTTTTTCCGGAAAGCCATGGAGTCCTTGACACAGTGATTGGCGTTTTTATCTGGCATACCGGCTCCCGGCGGTTCAGGTGACAGAAGGACAGTGTCAACCCAACTTTGTAAGTCCGCCACTGTAAATGTAATGGACACAGGAAGGCATCATGAATGTAGCTTCTGTCCCCCATCCCTTCTCGTCAGCTACGGCCTAGCCATGTGTGTGTATCTGCACCCCACACATTTTATTTATGTATCTTTAGAGGGGAAGGGAAGGAGAGAAGGAGAAAAATACCAATGTATGCTTGCCTCTCGTGAGTCCCCTGCTGGGAACTGGCCTGCAACCCAGGCATGTGCCCTGACTAGGAATCGAACCATGATCACGTGGTTAGCAGGCCGTGCTCAATCCACTGAGCTACACCAGCCAGGGCAACACATTTTAAACTTTCTCCTCTCTCCGCCGCCTACAGCTCTGAAGAAGATGCATGTTGCTGTAGCTTCTTCAGTGTTAGTAAGTGCTGAAGCCTCGAAACTCGTGCTACTGCAGGCAAATAAATAGGAATATGCCATCCTAGCTTACTTACTTGTGTGTGCACGTGTGTGTACATGCATGTATCTATGTAGTTCCTGCTGTAGAGAAGGGGTAGGCCAAATGGGAAATGAAGGTGAATGGTTTGATACAAATGCCAATTCAGTTTATGCACGCTCCCCCCTTTTTTGTTGTTGCAACCCTTGCCACTGCTTTCCACGACTTGGTATCTTAGATTGAATTTCTGCTCTCGCTATGTTTAGAATCTATTTTTAATTTGGCCAACTGACTTACTAGGGAGCCATGTGAGGGTTGCTAATTTTAAGTACATAATCGTTGTCCCCATTTAAAGGCCTGTAGAAGAGCTTCGCATGCCTTTCCCGCTGCACTGTGTATGCGCCAAGATGTAAGATCATGGTTTTAAAATAAATAAATAAACAAATTAAAAAAAAACTGCCCACTGTACACCAGGCAACAGGCGGTGTGCTTTTGTATGTTTTCTCTTTTTTGTACTCCAAAAAAAGAAAAGAAAAGAAAAAACCCGTGTTGCTCCGGACTTCTTGCCTTACCAAGAACATTGAAATTCCCTATGTAATTACAGAGCTGTGTTCCAAGGAGAATGAGTGTGAGTATTAATGCCAGTGAGTCCTGAGTTCAAATCCCATCTCTGCCACTTGTTAGCGCCGTGAACCTGGGCAGGCTACCTAATCTCTCTGAGCCTCAGCCTTTGCATTTACGAGATGAGAATAATACTCGCTGGCAGGTGTTGTGAAGAAGTATCGGCTTGCCGTGGTGATTAGGCACTCCGACAGCCTGTGGCCCAAAGCAGCAGTACAGAACAAGGTACTCACTGTGACTTTTTATTGTTCTGAAAGGATCAAAGAGCGTAGAAGATGTGTGTTAGTTATAAGGTCTCTATGCTGCTCCTGGGACTTTTTGGCCTGGGCTGTTTCCATCTGAGTGGCTAGAAGGGACAGCAAAACCGATATGTCATTTGAACAACTGCCAGACCTTTTGGTTGGAGCCTTTCGCCCCTGGCAGTCCTCAGACATCTGCTGGAACCTTGCGAGTGAGGTCTGGTGGTTAACAGAATATTAACTGGGGGCAGGTGTGTCTTTGCCCGCCTGGCCTCCGACAAAGGTTCCGTAGAAGTAGCAATACAAACACACACCTGAAGGATATCCTTGGCTCTTGTGTCTACTTTCCACTGGGTCTGGGTTCAAACCACCTGGTGAAGGTGCCTGAATCCCTGCAGTGTTCTCTGAGAGACCACCTAGATACTTTTCTGGATCAAGGGCCCATAGAGCTCTTCTGGGTGGTGTGAGGTTGAACCTTGTGACTTTGACTGTGAATGCTAACAGAGATAACAAGGCTGATCCACCTACCCCTGCCCAGGGGGGCTCCTTAGGTAAGGTCTTCACTGTATGCTGCTGGACTGGCCTGTTAGGAGGCATTGCTATACAGGGGTGGGCAAAAGTAGGGTTTACAGCTGTCCATATGGAAACATTTATAGTACAATTAAACTCTGCGTTTTTCTATACTCACAACTGTACACCTACTTTGGTCCTACCCCTGACAGCAGCTCCTTTAGTCTGGGGCAGGAGTTAGGGGACCCGGGCCGCTGAGGTCAGAGAGGAAGGACGTCTTACATTTACTGAGGGCTTATGATTGCACCTGGAACTTCACATGGAGGTAATACCATTTCACCAGGTAAATAAATTAGGACGATGTTTCTTCCCCCCACCTCCCCCGCTATATTTGCTTAGCATTAAATTTCATAGGTAGATTTTTTAAAAAACGTTTTATATCATAAGAACTGAATCATATCCGTCTAGTTAGTTGAACACTTATGAGTCACCTCACACTGTGCCAAAGACTGGATGGATTATCAGTGGATATTCTGGAGAGCCCAGTCCTCCTGCTATATAATATACTTGTAAGAAATATCTGCAGAATGTAATTATTTGATCGCTTGGTTCTCGTGCTTTGTAAGTTCTTAGGGACTTTCTTAAGCAGCTCTTCTGTCCTCTGGTATGTGTTCACTCTTCAAGTGCAAGGATGATGGCTTTCATTTTCCTGGCCTTTCCCAGATCAGCTGATACAGATCTCACTGCAGCGTCTGCTTCACGACAGTGGCCGAGGCCACGACAATTTCAGTGGTGTCCTCTAATGCCTCTAGACTTAAACATTTTCTTTTCTTTTTTTTTTTAAGATTTTATTTATTTTTAGCGAGAAGGGAAGGGAGGGAGACAGAGTGGGAAAGAGAACATCTGTGTGAGAGAGAAACATCAACTGGTTGCCTCTCATACGCTCTGACCAGGAACCGAACCTGCAACCCAGGCATGTGTCCCGATAGGGCATGGAACAGGCAAACTTTCCCCTTTCAGGACGATGCCCAACCCATTGAGCCACGCCAGTCAGAGCCTTAAACATTTTCCGAAGTATTTTTGCATAACATTTTGCAAACAGAAGGATTCTCATTTTGAGTCGTAAGTCTAGATCTTCTAAGTAAGGAGTCCTTGGAGATGTTTAATATTTTCAATATCTCACATGTGCAATCTCCTCCAAATAACTGTTGTTTTATTTGCCTTAAACAGGCAGTCAAGATTGACTGTTCATGTGATACAATTTTGTCAGCAAGAGTTTAAATATATGACCACAAAAATTCTATATATAAAAGTTATACAGCCCTGAGTGAGAAGGAGAGCCCATTCTGGGACCTTCCTTTTGAGGGGTTTTAAAGGCTGGGAGTTTAGGGGTGGTCTTAGGGGAGAGTCTCAATAGAATATTCACCAGTTTTATGCTGATTTGCCCAGACGAGATTTATTTCCTTGACTTCTTCTGTCTCTGGGTGGGTTGGCACAATGGCCCTAATTGGATTTCTGTTATCTATCTCCCTGTGTAGGGTGATTTCAGCTATTTACCCTTTCTCTGCTTGGGGAGAAGTGTAAGCCATTTAATCTTTTTTTTTTAATTTTTATTTTATTGATTATGCCATTACAGTTGTTCTATTTCCCCCTCTTCATTCCCCTCCACCCTGCACCCCCCACCCCTACCATTCCTCCCCTTTAGTTTATGACCATGTGTCTCAAGTTCTTTGGATTCTATATTTCCCCTACTATTCTTGCCCTCCCCCCTATTTTCTACCTACCGTCTATGCTACTTACTTTCTGTACCTTCTCCCTCCTTCTCCTCCCACTCCCCTATTGCTAACCCTCTATGAGATCTTCATTTCTATGGTTCTGCTACTGATCTACCTGTCCTCTTAGTTTGCTTTTGTTTTAGGTGTGGTTCTTAATAACTGTGAGTTTGCTGTCCTTTCACTGTTCATCTTTTTTATCTTCTTTTTCTTAGATAAGTCCCTTTAACATTTCATATAATAAGGGCTTGGTGATGATGAACTCCTTGAATTTGATCTTATCTGAGAAGCACTTTATCTGTCCTTCCATTCTAAATGAAAGCTTTGCTGGATAGAGCAATCTTGGATGTAGGTCTTTGGTTTTCATGACTTGGAATACTTCTTTCTAGCCCCTTCTTGCCTGTAAGGTCTCTTTTGAGAATTCAGCTGACAGTCTGATGGAAAGTCCTTTGTAGGTGACTGTCCCCTTATCTCTTGCTGCTTCTAGGATTCTCTCCTTCATTTTAATCTTGGCTAATATAATTATGATGTGCCTTGGTGTGTTTCTTCTTGGGTCCGAGTTCTTTGGGACTCTCTGTGCTTCCTGGATTTCCTGGAAGTCTATTTCCTTTGCCAGATTGAGGAAATTCTCCTTTATTATTTGTTCAAATAAGTCACCAGCCACCAGTGGAAAACTTATTTGAACAAATAATAAAGGAGAATTTCCCATTTACTCTTAAGTGTCCTCGGTTACAAGAGATAGGACTCTGAGGTTTACTGGATGGCTGTAAACTGCTACGCCTTTTAACTATCTGTCTCAGTTTCCCTATTTTGCTTGTCCTGGCTTTCTAGCCTGTGTCACTCCGGACATATGAGCACTCTTTCCTAAGTCCTTTACATGGTCATCTGTACGATATATATTGATACCCCACTGAAAAGTTTAAAAGTCCTCAGGCTAGTTAAAGTAAAATGAAATCATTTCGTCACGTTCCAGCCTACTCTGATCTGAATCAGTTTCGCCAGCTGGACTGTACTGACTCCATTTTCAGCCAACCCAGCTATACCGACTCCATTTTGTTTTCTTCACTCATCCCGTATGTGAAATATTGATTTAACCAAAGTTATGATGTGACTACCTCGGGGAAAAAGGAGGAAAGGTGATGGAGCAAGAGTTGGGAACCATCCTCCGTAATGGAAAACAAGCAGCACCCTGGCCAGGTGGCTCAGTTGGTTAGAGCATCCTCCTGTTATGCCAAGAGGTTGAGGGTTCAATCCCCTGTCAGGGCACATACAAGAACCAACCAATAAATACATAAATAAGTTGGAACAACAAATTGATGTTTGTCTATCTTTCCCTTCCTCTCTCTCTTTCTCTCTAAAATCAACCAATAAAAAATTTTTTTTAAGTAAACAAGTAGATTTAAATAACCAGAAGGAACTGAACACGGTTGCCTCTGGGGAGTGGGAATAGGGTTTCCCAGTTGCCAAGGTGTCAAGTCAAGTTCTTCAGCCTGGCCAGAAAGTCTCTTTGCAATCTGTCTCTACTCTCCCTAGTTTATCTCCTCTCTAATTTTTTTTCCTCTTGTACTCTTTGTTCCAGTCAAGCACTGTTCACCTGGTGTTCCTCATCCCCTTCAAAGACCTCATTTGCCAAGCCTGAGATGTTCTCCTATCTGACTGAACATCTTACTGGTGAGTTTGACAAAGAGTCACCGGAGTGAAAATTATCTGATGAAAAACATGAAGAAGCACCAAAATGTAATAGAGGAGGTCAGTCATTGGTAGATTGAGGGTTTGATTAGCTGAGAAAGAATGTATTTACAGAAGGAGGTTGGTTTATACGCATCTACAAAAGCTAAATTACTGGATCAGTCAATATAAATTTATTAAGTGCCCACCATGTGCCAAGCATCCTGGGAGTACAGAACAGCAAGCTATATAGTTAAATACCAAGAATCAGGAGGGAGAGAGATATTACAGTTAGTCTAGAGGGCCAGAACGTTCTAGAAAAGAAGGGCCAAGGTACAACCAGAAATGTCTCATCTACTAAGCACTCTGTGGAGTAGGACAGACACTTCAGGCTTGATGACGTTAAGAAAATGGTTTATCTAAAATGCATTTTGTGTCAAGTTCTGGGCTGGGTGTCGCCATTCCTGAATCATACAAAAGCCCAGTGAGGTTTTTATTATTATTATTTCTATTTTCCAAATCAACAAACTGAGCTTCATCAAGGCAAGGTCTCCCAGCCAGTGTCAGAGGTGAGATTTGAACCCTGCCCCAGCTCTAGCGCCCTTTCTTTTCCAACCGCAGGCCACAGCCTCTCCAGCCAACTACATCACACTCACCAGGCCACCTTCTGAGAAATTTGACATCACATGTAGGAAAAAATGCTCTGGTTAGTCAATAAAACCTTCCTTTACTAGGCACTTAGACATAATAATAAAATACTAGCTGCTAACCTATTGAACGTTTGTTCTGTGCCAGGTACTGTGCTATGCAGTCTACCTGCATGAAGCAGAAACTGTTGTCGCCATTTTACAGATAAGAAAACTGAGGCATGAAAGATGCGAATTGGTCCTGGCCGGGTTAGTGCAGTTGCTTAAAGCGTTGTGCAGAACACCAAGGCTATGGGTTTGATCTCTGGTCAGGGCACATACTGGAGGCAACCAATGAATGCATCAATAAATGGAACAAGGAATTGATCTCTCTCCACTCTTCTATAAATAAATAAATACTTACGTACATAATTTGCCTTGGGAAGAATGTGCCCTGTGGCCACCAGGGGTGCCCAAAAGCACACCAGGGTCACCACACCTGACCTGATGTGTGTGTGAAGTGTGGGGACAGGCAAGGCCAGGAGGGCACACAGTGAGGCTGCCACCCCCGTAACATGACTTCTCCAGGCTGCACCCTCTGTGCCCGAGTGGCAGTATGCACCGGAGCCATGGTCAACAGAGATATGCTGGACTCGGTGGTGACAGTCGTCAGGAAGTCCCAAGGTCCTTCAGCGTCTCCTCTGGAGTGCAGTGAGGTTTCTGGAAGAGGCAGGTCGGCCCCATGACAAAAGGTGTTGAGGTCCCCACGCTCTCCCGAGGTGGAAAAGCCTTGTTGGAAACCAGACACCTGAGTTCAGGTATCCCACCTGAAGTACTTACACCAGCAGAAATGACGGGCTAGGGGGCTGGGGGGCTGTAAGCTTGCCCCTGAGTTTGCTAAGAAAACCTAAAATATTTGTTGTAACAAGTTAGAGAGAGCAGGTGGGTACATGTGAGTCCTGTGCGGATCCGCTGCCCTGAACGTGGATTGTCAGGCTCCAGTGCCAAGCGAGCCACGTGCTGTGCCTTGTGTCTCATCTGTGGAGAATGCAGGGCTGTTTTTAAGCTCTCTGTATTTTCTTATAACCTGCTGTTGGAAGGTTTATCAACAAAGTAGTGTTAACCACACACACAAAAAAGGACAGAGAGCTTGCGCTCTTAATTATTCTAAGTATCGCCATCTAACTTACACACTGCTGTGATAAACATAACTAGTCATTTAAGTAATATTTAGTGAGCACTCACTCCACAGTCTGAGGCTTGCTGAGAGAATCTCAATGAAGTAGAAGACCTATTCTCTGTCTTTCAAATATTTATAACTGAAGTGAAAAAGCCAGATAGACACAGTCAAACTGTTGGGCCATAGTTGAGGTTTGAATATAATTAGGAACTAAAATGATGAGGGCAACCTAGAAGGCCCTGAGATTTGACACAAGGCCAGATGCCCTGAGAGCCAAAGCAGAAATGCACGTGGTGTCCTGGGGACAGGGACCAACCAGCCCCAGCAGGGCAGCGGAGGCGCGAAGCAAGAGGGTCCATAGGCATCTAACTTCAGAGCCTTATCTCAGACGTTCTACAGCTCAGGGGAGCCCTTCCTGGGGCTGCTGCTTCAGCACTCTTTCCAAGTAAACTCCACATAGGGTGTGCCAACCGGTAGCATCAACTTCTGAGTTTTAGCCCCAATGGACTGATTATTTATTTATTTATTTATTTATTTACGGGGAAAGCAGAAAGAGAGGGAGAAAAACTCAATGTGAAGAGCAACATGGATCAGTTGCCTCTTGTATGTGCCCCAACTGGGGATACAACCTGCAACCCAGGCATGTGCTCTGACCGGGAATTGAACTGGGTACCTATTGTTTTGCGGGATGATGCTCAACTCACTGAGCCACACTGGTCAGGGCAGCCCCATCATGTTTTAAATAGTCCCCTGGAGATTCGTGGTATTATAGGCAACTCTAAGTTAATTAGAAGGCAAAAACCCCAAAAGCATTGTGTTCATCACCATATCCAGCCCCTCTGACAAAGGTTGCCTCCTGCAGGAGCTCAGTGAATGTTGATTAAACCAGAACAGAAGCATCCGGCACAGAGACCTCCCTGTCAGTGGGGTCGCTAATACTGTGCTCTGGCTCTGCCACTTGCTGGCTGTGAGGCCTCGCACGGTTACTTAACCTGTCTAGATCTCAATTTTCTTACCTGCAAAAAAGGTCTAGTGAGAGTACCTTCCCCAGAGGGTTATTGTTGTGAACAGTAAGCAAATTAATCAACTTAAGCACTTAGAACAGGGAGTCTGTTGCTCTTGTCGACAGCATGGGCTCTGGAGCCAGGCCATGGTTTCATGTTTCTGCTGTCTCTCAAGTGAGGGAACCTCCGTTCTTCCACTGTAAAACGGATACTATCATAAGAGTGCCCATCTCACAAAGTGGTTGGGAGGATGCGATGAATTAAATGCATACAAAGCACCTCGCCCAGGCCGGTGGCACACCGCAGCAACACAAAGTGACATTCTCCCCGCAGGGTCACCAGTCCTTCCTCGCGTTTTGCTGCCATAACTGGCTGGTGGCGCGCTCATTTCTGAGTTAGACGAGACTTTGTCGCTTAGGGAGATGGCAGAGCTCTGCCCTCATCACTTCCTCTTCAGCTTCCTTCTAGGGTGGGGTCTCCATTAAAATAAACTTTAGTAAAATAAACTTCTTACTCTGCCGTTTCCAAACATGTGTAGAGCCACGGAGATTAACGTGGGGAACCCTCATGTATTCACCACTCAGCTTCCACAGGTATCAACACACAGCCATTCTGCCTCCATCCACGTCACACCTACTTTCCCTCTCCACCCCAACTTTCAGCGAAATTTCAGATATCATATCATTTTATCCATAAACACTTTGGTAATGTATCTCTAAAACAGAGAGTCTTTCTTAATGTCTCACCACATCTAAAAATTTTTATGACGATTCCTTAATATCACCAAAAAGCCAACGAGTGTTAAATTTCCTTGATTTTCTGATGCATCATTTCTTACAGCCTTTTTTAATAATAAAAAAAAAATCAGGACCCAAACAAGGTTCCAGCGCTGCATTGATCTGAGGTCTTCGCAGGCTTTTCTAGTCGATAGGTTTCACACACTCATCCTTTCCCCTTGGCCATGTATTGTCAAAGAGAGCGAAGAGTTTCTCCTGTCCAGTTTCTCACCTTGCAAATTTTGCTGATTGCTTCTTCATCATGTCCTTCAATATGTCCCCGTGGCCCCAGAACATCTCGTTATACCAGCAGCAAGAAAGATGTTGAAGAATTCTGGGGCCATGTCAGGAGGACACATGAGCACCAGCTGGAAGGGAGTATTCTTAACATTAAGTAAATCAATAAATAAGCTGCAGCACCTGGGGGTCCATCAACCTGTGATACTATCCATGAGTTTGCGGTAATGCCCCCAGAATAGATGGGTGCATTGGCCGCCTTTGAAAATGGGGAGAAAACAATTCTCTATTCCAAAAATGAACAAATAAAAGTAGAGAACCAAACGCTCATTCTGCCTTTTCTGTATGAGCTGTTCCTCGGGGTAATCAAATAACTGATGAGAAGAGACCCTGCTAATAAAGAAAGAATGATACAACTAAAATATCGCCCTTTTGCAATCCTTGATGAGTAAAATGTCTAATAAAGGCCTATCAGGGACTGCTCACACCACAGATGAAAGCTAGGGAGGGAGAACTTTACTACAATGGATATGTAAGGCTGATAGTATCCGTCAACAGATACGTCATCACAGAAAGATAAGCCACTCAGTATTATGTCCTTTTGATGTGACACAGTAGGAACTATGCAGCCCATGAAATATTTACGCCAAAAATTCAGGTCTGAACCTGCTCAAACCTCTATTTGTAACTACCGGTTTAAAGGTAGGTCACACTCTTAACATTTATTCTTTTTTTCCTAAAATGAGCAAATACTAAATGAAAGGCCAACCAAAATCTCTAGGCACAAATCAAACTGGGCAACCTCTAATGGTAGGTGCGTTAAGACAGCTCCGGTAGATAAATGTGTACCCACCTCCACTCCGTTATAAAACCATTACATTCCTGGGCTTTAAATGGTTCTGCATATGGCAAGGGAAAAATGGCAGAGCAGACAGGGCGTTTGACTTTTGGATGTGCGTGGGTATCTTTTTTTTCCTCTCTAATATATAAGATGAACTCACGTTCACGCATGCCACGCCTTTAAACTGTGTCAGTACTGTGTTCAAGAAAATGATGTTCGAAGGCGAGCTGGCTTCTGAAAGCCGACTCATTCTGTCAAGGTCCCCGGCTGTTCGTGTGAAAGGGACCCAGAGCTGTGGCTCTGCAGCCCCTGGGCAGGCCTGAGCTCAGCGATGTGGGCGTGCACCCCAGCTGCAGCAGGAGCCACCTGCGCTCAGAGTGGTTGTCAGGTGAGGCTGTGCCTGTCCCCTGGGTCCTGCTGCGCTGTTTCCAGGGAGCACCAAACCCCTGGTGCAGGCGGCTTGCTTCATCATTTTCTTAGGCCTGTTCAAATGGGTGCCCATTGGCTTCCCTTTATTTATTCCCAGTATCACATTCCATGTCCCCGGATAAAGGCATTTGGATTTGAGTATGTCGTAGCAGATAACTTAACTACACGTACTTTGAAAACCACAACTTTCGAACATCGCCAGCTGGTAGGCGGTGCCTCGTGCATGACACACTTAATTGGGTCTGTTTAGTTCTCCACTTCCTGCTCCAGAACACTGATATTGATTTATTTTTATTTCACAGATCACATGAAAAGAACATGACTCACAAGGAATTCAATTACATTACAAAAATGATCCCCAGAGTCTTACATTAGAAAGACGACAATATTTTGTAACATGTATGAAGATTTCTAAGCCCAACAGATTCTTTCATGTACTTTCATTTCCACATGGACAAAAGAAATAATTACCAAATAATACATTTAAAATTTTTTAATTTGATCCCAAAGAGTAGAAATGATATCCTTTCCTGCTCTTCTAAGATCCTCCACAACCTGACAAGTCAGTAAGAAAAAGTCAAAGATGTGCCCTGGCTGGTATAGCTCAGTGGATTGAGTGTGGGCCTGCAAAACCAAAAAGTCGAGGTTCGATTCCCAGTCAGGGCACATACCTAGGTTGCAGGCCAGTTCCCAGTGGGGGACACAGGAGAAGCAACCATACACTGATACTTCTCTCCCTCTCTCCTTCCCTCCCTTTCTAAAGATAAGTAAATAAAATTTAAAAGTATATAAATAAAATTATTTTTTAAAGTCCAAGATGTATCCTGGTATTTATTTGTTTGTTTGTTTAGTATTTGAGACATTTCATCTAAATCGTATTGCTGTCGAAATGTTGTTTCAAGACAGACTACTCATTTTATTTTATTATTTTTTCTTTTTCTTTTCTTTATTTTTATTGTTGACACTATTGCAGATGTCTCCATTCCCCTCCTTGCTCCGCCCCTCCCAGCCCCTGCCCCCCTTCCCTCTGGTGGTCCGCACACTGTTGTCTGAGTCCTTGGGTTATGCATCCGTTTTCTTTGGCCGATCCCTTCACCTTCTTTCATCCAGTCACTCCCTGCCTCCTCCGTTCTGGACGCTGCCGGTCTGTTCCATGATCGATGCCTCTGTTTCTATTTTGTTTGTCAGTTTATTTTGTTCACTAGATGCCACGTGTAGGTGAGATCACTTGATTCTTGTCTTTCTCTGACTGGCTTATTTCACTTAACATAATAATCTCCAGACCCCTCCATGCTGTGGCAAGAGGTACGATTTCCTTCTTTTTTTTATGGCCCTTATACTAGTTCTCTTTGCCATTTTCATGGAAATGGGATAAATGCAACTTCGTTTAATGGTAGTATTTAGCCTAGGTTCTGCGAATTCAATTTTTTATTTTTTTATTTTTTATTTTTTGAAGTAGAGTGGGGTACGCGTTGGAGCTGAGTCTGGGCTTTTTGACTTGCATATGTTGAATCCACAGAAAAGTTTCCCTTCGCAGGATGAAAAGTACAGGGTTAGTCTCCTAGTTTACCACCAGCTCAGGACAGAATAACTATTTGAGGCCCGACATTTAATACACCTGTGATCACAGATATTGCCACTGAAAGCTTTTCCACCAAAGCAGGTAACAAAGAACCTTATAGCCGTGTCTAACTTTAATTCACAAAAGTGAGGGAGCCGGGAGGTGACGATAAGCACTGCCCTTGGGGACACTATCAAGTGTCTCTTTACCTCATGGGAAAGAGCAGCAAAGCCAGGAGAACCATATATAAAATAAGTGTGGGCTTACAGAGTACTGGGCACATCCAAGTGCAAGCTGAGAGTCCGACTGGGAAGAAGTTTTTTAAGGTAGGTTATTTTACCCGGCCTCACGGGACCCAACCTCGTGGGAACCGTGTCTATGCAATCTCTAGGCTTAGAATAAACTGGGATGAAGGGAAAGGTGAGACAACATTCCTTCCGTATGTTATGTCTGCAATTTTTTTTCCTCCCATTAAGATGCCTTCCTCGCTACAAAAGCTCTCTTTTAGAAAGTACTATAATAGGATTTGGAGGACGGGGAGGGGAAATATGATAATTCTGGATAGCAGCTGTCACATCCATACTTTTTGTCTTTACTGTGCTATGTTAGTGGTGCTTATACCAAAATGTTATTAATTAATTCAACCCACTCATTATCTTGGCTTTGAACTTGTTTCGACAGCCACAACAAGATACTTACTACTTGAGCTCGACTTCAGACCAATACCCTATTGTGGAAATTTCAAATGTATATTTCATAGGTAACTGTTACTAAGGAATTTTGTTTAAAAGGTACAAATGATGGTTCGTTAAGGGTCATCCTTATCATGACATCAGTATACAGGGTTATGGTTCCTCTTTCTCCAGTGCATCCGGAAGGTCGTGAGCTTCTCAAGGTCACGGCCATCCCCTCTTTTTCTTACTTTCCAACGTCCTGGCACACCGCTAGGACTGCAGGATGTACTCAGAAGGTGTCTGTTAAAAAGATAAAAAGCTTTATGATTCATCTTAACTCACTTTTGTTAAGAGTGGTGGACAATGGCGACAGATTTTCTCCTTTTAAAACAAAATAAATATCACCTGGTATATCAGCTCTGCAGACTGGAGGAGGTGAGAAAATTCCTACCTGGAAAAATAAAATGTCTTGAAAATATGTGTAAAGAGAACTAGAGCCTAAAGGAAAAGAAACGAGACACTGGGCTTCACTTCATGGGACGTCCTTGTCCACAACGAGCTGGTTATGGAAGACAGGAAGTTAATTTATCATGCCACGTTTTTAAAAAATATACTTATTAGCTTAAAAGATTCTTTTGAACCTCAAATAATTGGCTTTTCATTACAGATAATTAAATACTTATTGTGTTGAATTAATTAATTTTAGAATAAACTAATCTTAACGTATAGCTGTACAGGGCATTCCTCGGTACATGATAATTAACCAGAAAAACGTTCTTGTTTACGACTACGTGCTGTAACCTAAGTCTGTGTTGAGTTCTTTGACATGCAAAGAAGTCATCAACTTTTAGAGCTGGGATGAATCTTGGAAATCTCCTGCTCCAGCATCTTCAATTTATGGAGAAAGGAATTGAGCCCCAGAGGGGTACAAGGACGTTGACCAAACAACCAGAAGGTGACCTGAGCACTTCAGCTTTGGCCGGAGTCCCTGGGGCAGAGCCTATATCAGTTTTCACCCGTTTACCTCATTGTGGTTTATTTCTCCTTTTTAAAAAAACTTTTAAAATACATGTTTTAAATGTCTAATCAATATATTGTATACCTGAAACCCATCTAATATTGTATGTCAACTGTAACTGAAAAACTAAAAAAATTAAAAATAAAAAAGCAAAATACAAGTCTCAGAGTTCCTGATGAATAATGATCGTAATTGAGCAGCTATAAATGTCTTCAGATCCACAGAAGCAGTTTAAGCATTATGGGCAAAACCATGGTCCCTGACAGAGAAGAGATTTCATGTTCTGAGACAAATATATAAAGAAAAACATAAGAGGGACTTTATCAAACTTGCTCGTAGCAAGACTTCTTGTTTTACCCGTGTGCACCAGCATAAAACAACCACAGTCTACAGCAAAACGGAGATGTTGCTCAAGGCTATACATCGGTCATTTTCAAACTTTTATTCTTAAATCTTGCTCAGAACCCTAAAATACGTAGCAGATGAAAGTGGAGTTTATCTGATTGAAGTTGAAAGAGACGATCCCAGCTGTTCAACCTGCTCTGCATTCCTGCACTGATTTAAAGGAATTTCTGGAAGTGATCAGCGCGAAGCTGGGGAGACAGCTGGCCGGAGTGGGCTGTGGTGCCTTCACGGCGACAACCAGCTCCCTGAAGCCTGCCGGATTTCCGCTGGGCCACTCTGTGATGGGGAGTTCTACTGCACCATCTCCTGTCAAAGCTCTGTATAGTTTGCTTATTCTTTTTTTTTTCTTCTTCTTCTCTCTGACCAGGCTTTAAACTCTAAGGTGCATCAGAATCACGGGGGGGGGGTAGATTGGGGAGCTCATTGAAAATGCGGTTCCCCAATTGCCATCCCCATGACTTCTCCTTCAGTGGGTCTGGGGCCCAGGTCATCCGTCTGCGGGTCTGAGGGGTCGGTCCTTCATGTGAATCACAGACCCCTCTTTGAGAAACACTCCTCTGTACGGTCTAATTGCACTTACATATAATATTTCTTTTTCTGAATTTAATTTCATTTTAACCGTATTGATTGAAAAGGGGCTTCACATATCAGTCCTACTGTTGATTCAAATGATGAGTACTAATCCAAAAATCCAATAACGTATTTTGAGTTGGGATGAATCTAAAGGCTTTGGACCAAAATGAGAGTATGTAGGCCTTATGAAGAGTACTTTGAATAAGAGGAACTCTAATAAGTAACAGATTGGAAAAATAGTAGTGAAGAAAAAAATAAAAGGAATTTTCTTTCATATGATATGATTTGTCTATTTGAAGTCAACATGCTTAATGGTAAACACTAGAGACATTCACTTAAATATGTGAAGCAAACATGAAAGGTATGAACCCTGTAACCACGGTCATTCAGTGTCATTCTGGTAGTTTTGGCCAATCAAGAGATGATTTTAAAAGTGAGTTTTATTATCGGAAAAGAAGAGATTTGCATCCTTCTTTACCTCCCTTTCTGCAGTTGCTATGTCTGTGTAGTCAGGAACCCCAAGAGAATTGACTGAAATGCTATTGGAAAGAATAAAAGAATTCAGTGAAGTGACTGGTTATAAAATCAATATTAAAAATAGATTTCCTATAAGCCAGTTACAAACACAATGGGAAAATGTCCAATTTAAAATAGCAACCAAAGAATGTAAAATGTCTAGGTGCAAACAAAATAAGTAATATAGGAAGCCTTTAGGAAGAAAAGTAGAAAAATCTCTCCTGCAGCACGCATGAGGTTTGAATGAATGGAGGGGCATGTTCTGTTCCCATTAGGAAAGCTCTGATGTTACAACTCTGTCAATTCTCCCCAAATGGACCTATACATTTAACTCAGTTTCAACAAAACATCCAAGAGAATTTCATTAGAAAATAGCACAGTGATTCCAGAAAAATCTGGAAAAGAAAGGGCATGCCAATGTGAAATACATGGCAATGCCCACACACAATGATGACAATCGTAATACCCACAAATATCTCTTAAACGGAACTTTAACACTTAGTCCTTCTCTATTTCTGACTTTATAACGGAGAGCAACATTGCCCGTTTGATTTTCTTTTTCCAGTTGGTTCACCGAAGCACGGAAAGGCCAACTTCTAACAGGCCGGTTCCCCCAAATCCTCCTGGGACCACCCTGCTCGCCCTGCTGGAGCAGAGCTGTCCCCACAGAGGCTCGGTTTCTGCTGCCCACCCTCTTCTTTTCGTCTTTTTGCTTCACCACATTTTTGATTCAGTGCCCGAATCTCCCACGGAAATCACGAAACCCTACCCAAACATGACTTCCTGCATCTGTCATGATTATGCACAGATACTGATTTCTGTTTCTTTGTTTCTAATGTCTACTTATTGATTTTAGAGAGATGGGGGAGAGGAGAGAGAGAAGTACCGATTCGTTGTTCCACACATTTATGTGTCCACTGGTTGGCTCTTGTATGTGATCAGCAATGGACCCCACGGCCTCCGTATATTGGCACAACGCTCTAAGCAACTGAGATCTTCAGCCAGGACTCATCCCTGTTTCTTTGATAGTAGTTGCAAATATCCCGGTCACTGTTATTTCTCTATGGCTCAACTTGCAATCTACTTTTATAGTCCTCTATAAATCTAGGGCTGTTTCTACGTTCACCCATGTTGTCCTTGATCTAGAGGAGAATAGAGTTTTCCCACCACAGTTATTTTGACAGGAATTTGGTGCTTTCCCTATATTTTTTCACCTGACTCCCATATTTCAGTTTTCATCCTGAAAAATCCGATTCATTGAGATATCCAAAATTCTCATCATGCCCAGAGAATTTGGTAATCGCCAAGAAAAATGGTATGTCTTCCCCCAATAATTTTTAAAATAACATTGTGTTACCAAAAGCTCTAAATATTCTTGGTAGATACGAACTAACTGTCAGCTTGTGTATATTTGAACAATGACAATACTAATAAGAGCTTGCATTTGGTCATCATTTACCCTGTAAGGCTATTGCTCTCTAAACACTTTCTATGCACGTCAATGCATGTAATTTCAATGACCCTTATTACTCGCTTTTGTTGATCATCCCCATATTACAGACGCAGAAACTGAGAAGTAGAAACAGTTTGCTGAGGGTGGAAAAGCAAACAAATAAACAAGAACAACCATGGCGAAACAGTTGCCTAATGACTGACCTGGCATGCATGTATCTTTCTCCTTGGCAGGTTTAAAATGGAGCAGTTAATAGTAACTTCAGTGCGCGTCGAAGGCAGGAAATTGCAGAACATATCATTTCTTCAGACCTGTTATTCACTCTAAGTACTGTGCTAATTTTGCATTTAAAAAACCCATCATTGGAAATTAAGCCCCTTTTCAATTTGAAAACTGCATCTATGTATTATGTGGGACAGAGGTTAACCACACAGAAGTATACAAATTCCCCCGAATTATCCTTCGAGTATTAGAAGAACTTGACACCAATATAAAGTGCTTGTCAGGTTTCTTTTTTTTTTTTTTTCCCCTAGAGAATGATCTTCGCAAATAATACACAGTGGAGGCCTCTGTCCAACCCCATGCAAGGGATTGCCTTCTGAAGTCTTTCTGCCTGGCCATCAGATTGAATTTCCACACGATGGTGCTGCTGTGACCGGTGACCCGGGCCCTCCACCTGGCCATTTTCCATTTCCTAAATGGTATGTGCCTTGTATATAGCTGTTGCTCAGTACTACTTCCCTGCCGATTCGGTGTGAGAGCTAAATGGAAGAAGGAATCAGTAACCTCACTCTTCGCTCACATCCCGCCCTCTGGTTCACAGTTTGTTAGGCAAGAGCTATCCCACACAAATTTCTACGACTTTTTTATTCTTTGTTTTTAAGATTTTATATATTTATTTTTAGACAGAGGGTAAAGGAGGGAGAAAGAGAGCGAGAGAAACATCAGCATGTGGTTGCCTCTCACAGGCTCCCAACTGGGGACCAGGCCTGCAACCCAGGCATGTGTCCTAGACTGGGATTGAACTAGAGACCCTTTGGTTCACAGGCCAACACTCAATCTGCTGAGCTACACCAGCCAGGGAAGCTTTTAATTCTTAAAGAAAGCAAATATTTCACCCTCTGTGAATGTTTAAAAGAACACTTGAACAGAACCAAATTGTTTTCACATCAATAGAAGACATGTAAACAACCCAAAAATGAGGGAGCAACTATTCTCCTTTAACAGCTTCAGGGAGAAAACCTCCTCTTCCTTTTTCTTTGATCTTGCAATCAGACTGGCTGGTGCGCTATCCCAGCCCAAGGCTGATACAGTCCGTTATGTGAGATGCAAAGCCCACGTTCTGAACCATACTGTAGGTTTTTGCAGCAACTCTTTGGTCTTTTTTTGTTGTTGTTGTTTTGTTTTGTTTTTCCTTTTCTCCCTTTGGTCTGAAAAACATTGCTTTAAGAGATTTAATTAATTTTTTTTTAGAGAGAGGGGAAGGGAGAAAGAGAGGAAGAGAAACACCGATTGGTTGCCTTTCATGCACCCCCAACTGGGGACAGGGCCCCCAGGGCCCTGACTGGGAATTGAAATGGTGACCTTTTGGTTTGCAGGCTGGTGCTCAGTCCACTGAGCCACACCAGCCAGGGCTAAAAAAATGTTTTTAATTGAGGTATAATGAACATATAACATTATATTAGTTTTGCATGTACAACATAATGATTGGATCTATACAAAATTGCAAAAGGATCATGATAAATCTGATAACATCCATCACCACATGTTATTACAAATTACTTTTTCTTGTGATGAGGACTTTTAAGCTCTACTCTCTCAGCAATGTTCAAATATGCAGTACTATCGTCGCCATGCTGTACATGACATCCCCCTTTGATGCTTATAAGATATTAGAATTATTTACCTTATAATTGGAAGTTGGCACCTTTTGACCGCCTTCACCCATTTCACCCACCTCCAGCCCCCACCGCTGTCAACCACAGTTGAGCTCCATCCATGAGCTTGGGGTTTTTGTTTGTTTGTTTCTGATTCCACCGAAAGTGAGATCATAAGGTATTTGCCTTTCTCTGCCTGATGTTCAGATGTATTTCATCAGCACAGTGCCCTCTAGGTCCATCCATGTTGTAGCGAATGGCAAGATTCTGTTTTATGGCTGCATAATGTGTCTGTGTGTGTGTGTGGCAGATCTTCTTCACCCATTCATCCATCGATGGGCCCTTAGGTTGTGTCCATATCTTGCCCACTGCAAATGACGCTGTAATGAACGAGGGGGTACAGACATTTTTTCAGGTTAGTGCTTTTGCTTTCTGCACACAATACCCGGAAGTTGAACTGCTGGATCACGTGGTAATCCGATTTTTAATTTTTCGAGGAATCTTCATAATAATTATTTGGTCCTTATACCGAAAATACTTTAGGTGACCAAATGCTTACCAGAGGTAACTAATCAGATATAAAATACTTCTGGAATTTTCTGAACTGTGGTTCTTAACCAGGGTGATTTTGCCCACGGAGGGACATTAGGCAAGGTCTGAGACAGGACAGCACTGACCCTGCCTTCCTCCACACACACGCGCACACACACACACACACACACACACACACACTTAAGATTTATCTGTCCAAAATGTTCACTGTGCTGAGGTTGAGAAACCCTGTTACTAGGTAAAGAATACATCGGTGGTGGAAGGGGTGCTATTTCTCCACCACTTTTTAAAAAATGTCCACTTACATAGATATACAACAAGATTTAACAACAACAACAACACAGAAAAAAACCATTATAAGGATTGCAACTTATTACATTCTGAAAAATGTGAAACTCTGAAGAAACAGATCAGTGGTTGCCAGGGGTTGGAGGGAGGGAAGGATGAACAGGCAAAACACAAAGAATTCTTAGGGCAGTGAAACCACTCTGTGTGAGGCTGCAGGCTGCTGCGGTGGATACATTGCCGTGATGCATGAATGCAAACCCATAGAAAGTGCACCCTAATGCAAGCTATGCACCCTGGGTGATGCCGATGTGTCAGTATAGGTTCCTCAACTGTAACAAATGTAACTCTCTGCTGGGAGAGTGGGGGGGGGGGCACACAAGGTACCTGGGTGTATGGGAACTCCTTGTACTTTCTGCTCAACTTTGTTGTGAGCCCCAAACTGGTCTAAAAATAGTTTGTTAAAGCTAAGTGGGAAAACAAAACAAAGTTTAAGGAACTTGGTGAATTTCCCACTCTGAGATGTTATTCGAGAGAAACATTTAAAAATTCACAACTGTTTATAACGAAACCTTCTTTCACTATGAAATTCTGAAAGATGTCATTAATGAAGACAAGAGTCAAAGCCTGGGCGGGACAGTGGTCCCCATTTTATGGTCGGGGGAACCCTAGTCCTGTAGGATGTTAAAAGGATATTGAAGGAAAGTGTTTGGAAAACCCTGAGTTAAAGGAAATAAAGCAGTTTTTGGTTGCTGGTCTCTTTCTCTTTATGAAGAATCCCTCAGGGCCTTCCATATGCTAATGCCACGGTGAACCCCTAAAGCGGTTTGCTATACCCTGTGTTCCCCAAACTGCTGTGACCACAGGACCCTGTTCTGAAGGAACATCTGAAGGGACTATTTTGGACACTAATGGAGAAGCTATAGGGGAGTCACCCTGGCTGGTTAGCGGCGTGCGCTTTGCGGCTCCATTTTGATTATGTCCCCTTGCTCGCTTGGTTTGGTTGCTTCTCTCCATTCCTCCAACTCCATCACCTCCAAATGTCACCCCATTCCCCTAGAATTCAGTGCAGTGCCCACTAGGCTGTCCCCAACACAGGGACAGCATATTTCTCAGTAGTTTCATCACCTGTGTAGCAAAGAGAGCCTCCCTCAGTGGCCTCCTGGCCCCACGCTCCACGGCTGGCTAGTCTTAGAGTCACTTGTGCACTTGTCCACTTCCTGCAAGCCGGTCATAGCCACCTTCGGGCCCTGAGTGGGCCTCACTCAGTCTGAGAAGGAGAGGCTTTGGATTTCACTCTCTTCCTATTGTAGGGGAAATTCAATTTGAGTCCTTTTAATGGGATCGGGTGCGTTTCTCAAGTCAGCTTCTCCAGGCTCCCTCCTGACAGTCCCCTCTTGACGACAGTGCAGGGGAGTTCCTGTGTTTTTGCGAGTGGGAGTGCCGCTACTATTCTGGGCCCTTCTTTCCCGGCTGCCAGCAGAGCAGGTGTTTTTCATGGACCTCGAACGCTGCCAGGAGCCACGCTGCCTCCTGTTTTGTGTTCAACACTTGGGTTTTCCGGTGCTGCCAGAACCGGAGTTTTAATTTCTCCATCTTTCCTTTCCCGTTGCTTGAAGAAATGAAGCAATCTGTCAGACCGAGCCACAGTCTTCCATCTGTCTTTATAGGGGAAGAAGAATTTCAGACCTTTGTTTTCTTAATATTTAACTTGGAATATCCAGTTGACCTGCCCCCAGAAGGATTTCCCCCAAAGATTAAATCATATTTGGATATGGAAGATGATTTCTACACCCACTTCCTCAAGCATTTGGGAGTCGCTGTGGGCCAAGCACTGTGCAGGGAGCTGGTGATAAAGAGATAGGTGAGGCACAAGCCACACCTGGAGGCGGAAACAGACAAGGAACCAAGCAAGGAAACAAGCAATTGCATTAGAGGGAGAGGCGCTGTGAGCGGTCTCTGCACAGGCGCCCACGAGGGACTGGGGGCGGGGGAGGACGCAGCCCTCCACCTGTGGACCTTGGGTAGGCCCCTAGGAACAGATGCCTTGAGCTGTTTCTAAAGAACTTTTGCCAGAACTCCAAGAAGGGTGCATTTCCTTCAGGTAACAAATTTGTATTTATTTTCAACGCATTGTATATAACATTAATTGGGAGCAGCTTATTAATTTTCATCTTGAGATTTTAAGGATTCTTGCTAGATGGATGGCTGCCATTGCTAAAGTGCTCGTTTTGTCAAAAGGGAGTGAGAGAGGGAAGTTACGACGGAAACATCTATCAAGGTGTCTTAGGAACCAAATGGTACCAAATCACATTTGTATGACATGTTAGCATTTGCAAAGCACTTTTGCATAGATCACTGGGGACTGACAAAAATCTTATAAAGTTGGTAAAGAGATTGTCGATGAAAGTCAACACAAGTCGATACAAGTGTTCATTTCCACTGCTTTTTGAAGCTCTGTGAAATACCAAAAAAATAAAAAATAAAAAGAGCAAAAACCTATAGGGTCAAAGAGAACAGTGAATCAGAGGCAGCAATGCAGTTTCTGAATACGGAAATCAGACAAAGTGTGGAGACTCACACAGAAAGGGAGCCGCGGCAGACCCAGAAAGGCTCAGGATTTCGGCATCTGCCGAGTGGAGCTGGGAACAGAGGAGCTGCTCCAAAGCCTGTCTAAGCTTCCCCATCTCTCCCCCTGCACTCCTCCACGCTGCCAGTTGGAAACTCCTAGCCCATCCTGGTCCCAGGAGTCCAGAGGTCCAGACTCAGGATCAGCTGATGTACTGAAACGCAGGAGCGAGGCAAAGGGCTGAGAGCAAGAGGGAGTCCTGCGAAAGTGCACACAGGCCCTGTCCTCACCTGTCCCCACAGTGCTGTTCGCCAGGTGTGTCCCAGCCTCACCCCATCCGAGGAAGACAAATGCTTCTTCCTGGGAGACAGTGTTCAGCTGCAATACGGAACTGCTGGCTGGAAAAGGGTGGCCTTGTCACCCCACGGCAAAGCTCATTTCCAAGCGCCAGTCCTGTTTCCTTTCAGCATTTCAGTCTGTCACTGGTTAATGAGAGTGGCCATGTGAGAATTACTGGGCACTTGAATGAAGACTCCCAGATGAATGACAAAAGCTAAACCAAATCAACACATAGGAAAAAACGGGAGGAAACAAAGGCCGTGTGGGAAATGGGAAACAACCTGCAGAGAGTAATTGGTACCCTCAGAGAGATAAAATGATGACAAATTTTTTAATGAGGAGATTTCCCATACTTTAGAGAAATGCAGCAATAAGGAAATATTTTTATAACTAAAGGATTAATCCAGGTAGTCCAACAGCCAACTAATAAATTTAAGAAATGGAAAATAGAGAGGGGAAAATTATCAAACAAGTAATAGATGTCCCAGCATAGGAGACTAGAGTCCAAGGGCCCGATCAGAAAAATAAATGAAGAAGAGGTCTACATTAAGTCATATCTTCATACTATTTCAGAACACTAAAGATGAAGAGCAACCACTAAAAGTTTCTATAACAGAACAACAGAAAGCTAGGTCTCGCATGAAGGATTCAGGAATCAGAACGGCACTGAAAAACTGGAAGACAGTGAGGCGATGCCCTCAAATTTTTGAGAAAGAGTATTTTTCACCCTAGAATTCTCTGTCTCACCCAACTATTAATCAAGTGAGAATATAGAATAAGACATTTTCATCCATGCAAGATCTCAACACTTTTGCTTCCTGCTTATCCCTCCTTAGAGGTCACCAGGAAATGTGCTCCATGGAAACGAGGGAGTAAACCCAAGAGAGCCTGGGACACCGGAGTCAGGAGCAAGGAATCCATCACAGGAAGCAGACGTAAGGAAGCCTCAGGACCGAAGCGGCGCCTGGAGCGTGCCAGTCTCTGCAGGAACCGGGGCCGGAGGCTCCAGAAAAGTGACATCCAGGGGGAAAAGGACATCGATAGGTAGCCTATGTGATGTTTAACCAAGTCTAAAATACTTTTTAAAGATTTTACTTATTTATTTTCAGAGAGAGGGGAAGGGAAAGAGAAAGAGAGGGAGAGAAACATCAATGTGGGGACCCAGCTCCTCTACCCAGGCATGTGCCCCAACTGGGAATTGAACGGGTGACCCTTTGGTTCTCAGCCCGAGCTCAATCCACTGCGCCACACCAGCCAGGCTCATGTTGAATATCTTATTCAGGGCCTTTGCAATTCGGTTGGAGTGTGGAAACAGGTAGTGATAGTGATATGGGAAATTGAGCAAATGAGAAATCAAGTAGTATAAGAAAGGGAACATAATGACTAGGCATAAATTGGCTGAACAGAAAATAAGACTTATGTATCAGTAATAATAATAATAAGGAAAAATTAAGTATTGGCTTAACCAACCATTTGGATATAATTATGTTTGGGAGACTGAGGAAGTAGCAGTGGGAAGGTAGGGTAACATAGGTATACAATACCTTCATCTTTCAAAATAGGAAGTCAGATTGTAGTTGTATGAGATGGATAGCAGTATGAGCATATTAATTCCTAGGGAAGAAAGAGCTAAATAGGTGAAGAAGCAGCTAAAGGGATGAGAAGAGGTTGCTCTCAAGAGAACGAGCCTGGAAGATGAGTGGGGGTGAGAAGTGCTCCGGATCTGTTTTTGTCTAACAAATCACCCCACATGGATGGCTTTGAACAATGACAATCATTTTGTCGATGATTGTCGCTGAAATCATCTCATGGTTTCTGTGGATCAGATTTCAGGAAGGGCTCTGCTGGGCAGTTTGAGTGACAGTCTCTCAAGATGTTGCCGTCAGATGCAGGCAATGGAGCTGGACCTGGGGCTGAAACAGCTGGTGCCGGGCCAGGCGTCTCTCTCTCTCTCTCTCTCTTTCTCTCTCTCTCTCTTCATGTAGTCTCAGGGCTTCTGTGTAACATCTCTCTAGATAGACTAATTTGGCCTTTTTCATGGCATGGTGACATCCAGGTAGTTGGACTGCTAATGCGGCCGCTCAGAGTTCCAAAGGTGGGTGTCCCAAAAGGATAAGAAGTCAGATAGCATCTTTGACAGTTAATTTTCCGTGTCAATGTGAATGGGTCATGGAATGTCCAGGTATTCAGTTGAACAAGGTTTCTGCGTGTGTCGGGGTGGGGGTGTGAAGGGTTTCTGGGAGAGGTTAGCCTTTGCTTCAGTTAGAGGGAGTACCGTAGATTGCCCCTCTCGATGTGGGCAGACATCATTCACTGAGGGCCTGAGTAGGACGAAGAGGCAGAAGGAGGAGGAGTTTGCTCTCTGCCTGACCTCTCGAACTGGGACATCTATTTTCTCCTGCCCTCGGTGTTCCTGGTCCTCGGCCTTTAAACTACACTCAGGGCATCAGCCTTCCTGAATCCCCAGGTTGCAGAGGGCAGATGTGGAAATTCTCAGCCTTTGTAATTGGAGGAGCCAATGCCTTATAATAAATCTCTCTCTCCATATATGAGTTAAATACATATATATTTATCATATATATAACTTTTTTGATGTAATATATATAGCGTGGAGAAGTTTATACATACCTTTCTCCGTGCTACTCCATCAGTCAAAGCAGTCACAAAGGCCATGCAGGTTAGAGGGCAGGAAGTGCAGACGCCACCACTCATGGGAGAATGTCAAGGTCTCCTTAGAAAGAGTATTATGGGATGGGAGAGATCACTGTGGCCATCTTTGGAAAATATAGTCTGTTATAGGTGGGGAATTGCTGTGGGTTTTTTTTTTCTGATAAGCCTTCTAGTATTATTTGGCTAGTTAAACAATGTGCATGTGTTATTTTTATAAAAATACAAATTAAGTGTTGAGGATACTCTCATTGTCCTTTAGCAAATGAGGGAAATGTTCTCAAAGAGGTGAAGAGGCTGCTCGAGATAGGGCTGGGACATGAACCAGAGCCCTTTGCTGTTAATCAGATGACATAGGAGAGTCACTCTCGTTCGTATTAATGACCATGGCCTACCTCAGCTGCAACAGTTAACGAATGGGCTGGCTCTCCAAACTCAGCATTTGTAGCCTGATCTCTTCGCCTGAATATAATATTAGTATAAACTTTGAATGCAAATCATCAGAACTCAATTAACCAAAATCAAAGCAATGACACCATGCTGTCTAACATGATTGTGCCAGGCGCCCAAGAAATGATTTTGGTTTTTCAGGTGGTAGACCCTAGAATCAGTTACAGTTAGTGTCCTTTAGGGTGATTGGGCCTTGCACTTGGACTCGTTAATGCCCACCTAACACACACACACACACACACACACACACACACAACTGCCAGGCTAAAACACAAAATGAAAACCAAATTCTTTTTTTTTTAAGATTTTATTTATTTATTTATCTTTAGAGGGGAAGGGAAGGAGAGAGGGAGAGAAACATCAATGTATGGTTGCCTTTCGTGCGTCCCCTGCTGGGAACTGGCCTGCAGGGAACCTGCCTGCAACCCTGGCATGTGCCCTGACTGGGAATCGAACCGCGATTGTCTGGTTCGCAGGCCCGTGCTCAATCCACTGAGCTACACCAGCCAGGCCAAATTCTTTTAAATAAGGCTCTAATCTAGCAATAGATTGGTAATGCTACCCTTGTTCACATATCTGCCCGCACAAACCACCAAACTGTCCAGGACAAGACGTTGAACTTGGGCCTGTGATTGCTCAAGGTGTGAATTATCAGTCCCCAAATCTGTTCCCATTCAGGACATTGCATCACTTGGTCACTGACTCACTCCTTCTGAGCAGTTGCTGCTACTCCCAGACCACAACCAAGGATTAACACATCACTCCTGGGTGGCTGAGTATATTGGTCAAACTTGAACCTGGTCTATGAAACACGAAGTCCAGATGCAGAATATTTATATGGGAAAGCATGTGGATTATTCCAGATATCCCCAAAGTTATATGCAGAAGCAGGTGATGTATTGAAAAGGGTGGGACTAGCAGAAGAAAGCTGTCAAAGGTGAAGTTTTCCGGCTTGGATCCTATTTTTGCTTCCCATGGCTGGGATAACAAATTCAAACCTAGTGTCTTAACACAACTCCATTACTTTATATTTCTGGAGGTCAGAAACCTGACAGGGGTTCAGAGAGACTACAGTCAAGGTGTTGTAAGGTGGCTCTTCTTTCTGGAGGCTCCAGGAAGAATCTATTTCTTTCCCTTTTCCAGCTTCCAGAAGTTACCAGCATCACTTGGTTCAAGGCCAACGGTGGCAGACTGAGCCTTTCTCACTTACCTCTTTGACCCTTCCATTGTCACATCTCTTTCTCTGAACACAGTCAAGGAAGGTTCTCCAGTTTGTAAAGTCTCACATGATTTCACTGGGCCCACCTGGATAATCTGATATATTCTTCCCATCCCAAAGTCTATAACTTTAATCACATCTGTGAAATTCCTTTTGCCACCTAAGGTAACGTAATCACAGTTTCCAGGAATGAGGGCTTGGACATGTTAGGGAGACATTATTCTGCCTAAGAGCAGAGTTTTTCAAACTGACCCATTAGTGGATTGTGAAATCAATTTAGTGGAACACTGCCCGTATTTTTCTTTAAAAGGGAATAGAGCCAGGCCGGTGTGGCTTGGTTGGTTGGGCATCAGCCCATAAACTGAAAGGTCATGGGTTCGATCTCCAGTTGGGACACATACCTGGGCTGCTGGTTTTGTGCCAGTTGGGGCATGTGGGAGAGGCAACAGATCTGTATTTCTCGGTCACATCGATGTGTCTCTCCCTCTCTGTCTCCCTCCCTTCCCTTCTCTCTAAAATCAATGAGCATGTCCTCGAGTGAAGATAAAATAAAAAAATTAAATGGAATAGAAATTAATAGAGTATGGTGCATTTAGTAAGTATCAATGTTTCATAAAACCTCAATTTAGTTTTTACGCATTAATGATATAAATATGGATTTTTATGCATTGTGATAGAAAATGTATTTCTTAGTGAAGGTCATGAGCAAAGCGTTCGAAAGCCATTGACCCAGACAAGAGGATGATGAGAGCGTTAAGCACAATGGAACACAATGTTAACCGCTAA